AAAGAAAGGAAACTAAGAAAAAGATTGCGCAACCTTCCCCCCTGCCCCCCGCTCCCCCCCCCCCCCTCCTCCCCTCCCTCCCCCTCTCTCTCTCTCTCTCTCTCTCTCTCTCTCTCTCTCTCTCTCTCTCTCTCTCTCTCTCTCTCTCTCTCTCTCTCCCTCCCTCCCTCCCTTCCCTCCGCCCTCTCTCCCACATAAGACTCTCTGCCTCTCTCTCTCTCTGCCCAATGTGGCACGATCTCGCGACTTTAACCCCCCATCCACCCTGACCTTCCACTTCTCACGCGAAATGATAATAATAACAATGAGTGGATGAACCAGAATCAATATCCGAAGTTCCCTCTTACTGCTGACACAACAACAACCACAACAGGTCCACCACAGCTATGGCTTCCCCCCTTCTTCCACTTCTCACAAGCCTAGGCTATGGCGGACAACTGAGGGCTCTACCCCTCTCTGTGCACAGGACAACACAAAGCAGCTATGGCACTGCACTCCTGTCCAAAGGACAACCCAAAGCAGCTATGCCGCTGCCGACTAAGCCGCCATGCCTGACTCTGCCTCAAGCTTCCTTGGTGTGGCACTACCCCAACTGGGGCCTTCCAGATGGAGCACCCAACAATGTGATGAAGATGGTGTCCACCATAGCCAGGTAGGTGCCTCGCCACTCTCCTCCTTCGCCCCTTTCTTCCTCCTCCTCAGGCTGGGCTGCTCGCCATAGCCAGGCTGAGCGCCCAGCTGCCCTTCACCTCCAGGCAGCGCTCTACCAGTCCAGCGCTTGGCTCAGCAGCATGTCGCCAATCCTTGCATACCGCAAAATGAGGAGCATATGCTCCTCCGGAAGATATAGTGGCCTACTGGCCTCTTGGGCGGTGACTTCCTAGGCCGAGCGGCCTTTCAGCAACCGGTACCTCCTCCCTTTCGGAGGGAAACATCGTTGCAAGCTCTTCTATCGCCCGGACAGGCCCTAGACTCAGGCTGCTTGGACTGGTACCAGCCTACCTCTATCCTATCACTACTGGGCCTCTAAAAATGCCAACTTTTTGTCTTCTTCTGCTTGGCCTCCAGTACCCGACACTCCTACCACTACTTGAGTGGTACCGGCCTACCTGCTACTTGAGTGTTTTTCCCCGCTGCTCTTAGTGGGCCTACCCCCGCTACTTGAGTGTTTTCCCCGCTGCAACCCTCAAAGTCATGGCCACAGGTAAGTACCGGCCCTGCGGGACCTTTCAACCAACAAGTACCCTTGCGGGTCACACACACACTCAGCCGACAAGCACTCAGACAGGCATGCAAACCAGCACGCACGCACACACACACAGACTTGGAAACCACAGCAGAATGTGTGAATCTCAGCAAGGCACTCATTCCAGCGGCTAATCCCAGAAATCACCAGTGTTCTCAATCTCTGTTTTCTGGCGGGTCATTACACATACGAAATGGCACAAAATAGCGCAGAGGAAGACTTTAAGATAAGTCCTGACCTGACCGGGACTGACACGACATCCCATCATACATCATACATGTGAGAGGAGGAGCAGGGACCGCACACAAAGACGAAAGGTCCCTCCTTGTACACGCACATGGGGAGGTACCACAGATGAGGATGGGGGGAAGATGGAGGTGAGGGAAAAGACCAAGATCACAATAGCGAAATCCAGAATAGTCCCTTGCCGATGTCCAATCAATGTCTGCCTCAGAAATGTCGAATCAGATCCTGGGTGCAATGCCTACTGTAACCTCTGCCTGTAACCTCTCTCAGTCTCGTATCTGAAGAAGAAGAAGATGAAGAAGAACGAGGAGGAAGGAGGAAGGAGGAGAAGAGATGGAGGGCGAGAACGGAGAAGAAGATGTCACCCTCCTCGCTGCCTCACCTGCAGGTAACGGCCGCCATACTGACTGCCGTGGTTGTCCTGAGCAGGTGCCACGTGGAGATCCCAGCTATGGCGCCAGGTAAGTTCACCACTACAGGTATGGCTGCCGCCTCTCACTCCCACGGTCCCACCTATGCCTCTCCTTCCAGCCTTGCAGCGCAGCGCCCAAAATAGCGCAGCCTCCATTCAGCAGCGTGTCGCTCAAGAAGTGAGCTACCGAACTGTGTCTGTGCCCAGCCGCTGCCCAGCTATATGTAGCGCTGGGCGAGGCTGGGCCTGCCTGGTGCTGGCCTCAAAACGGCCCAGCCGGTCTGGACCCCTACCAGGCGTCCAGACTGTGCTGCTGACGCAGCAAGGCGCGAAAACGCGCCTGGCCTCTTTAGGCCCTGCCTCTGGTGTACCCAGTCCCAAGGGCGTGCCTTGGGGACTGCAAATCCGAAACGGTGCTTGAACAGACAAAGATGTGTATAAGAGACAGGGTGTACCCAGTCCCAAGGGCGTGCCTTGGGGACTGCAAATCCGAAACGGTGCTTGAACAGACAAAACTAGGACAGTGCACACCAAATAAACAAATAAGTGCGCTGCCTCTCATGTACCTGCGGCCTGAAAGGCCGCTCTGGGCCTCCAGGGAACTGGCGGTATGGCATGCAGCCTGGAGGGCCCTCAGGAACCGTCGGGCCCCTCAACTGGGGCCCGTGTGCAGGCGCAGCATGTAACAGAAGGGTTGAGGGGGAAGATCAGGGGGCATACACGTACATCATCGGGTCGGAGGGATGCTCAGTGATGGGTAAACTCCATACTTTTGGCTCACTTCTGCGGTGCGCCGTGCGGTGTGCGTGCGCCAGGCGCCGTGCGCAAATTGGTGATGCGTTGAATTTTTTATTTTTTTTTCCTTAGGGATGTGTCTACACACACACACACACACACACACACACACAGAGAGAGAGAGAGAGAGAGAGAGAGAGAGAGAGAGAGAGAGAGAGAGAGAGAGAGAGAGAG